TGCCTGGTCTTTTGAAGACTCAGGTACACTGGTTGGGCACTGACACATTTCTGGGCTGGTAGAATGTCCTCCGGGATACAATGTGTGCTCTAAATCAGCAACCGGTGTGTGAATAACGAATCAGCTGACTGGAGGAGGCACATCAGCACTTCTTGCGGTCTTCTTGCCAGTTTTTTTCCCATAGCCTAGAATCCTGAGTCTTAGGTTCTGAGGGGTTGCTGGTAACATGGAGAGATTTGAACTCTGGGAGGTCGCTTCTGGTTGTCCTGGGCAGGGCGCTTAATGGATGAGTCTGGAGGAAGGATGCCATATCCCAGAAAGATGCTAGTGCCAAGGTCAGCACTTAGGGGTCCCGAACATTTGAGGGGAAATAACCTCTATGAGGTGGGCAGGTTGGGGCCAGGAGGTTGAGTCTTAAGTAGGATGCATAGGATGCGGGTGAGCCTTGAAGGAGGTGTTGGGAGTGCTGGATAAAGCCAGAGAGTGGGTCATTGAGAAGTAGGAGGCCAGCTCTGAGCTGGCAGGGATCCTGGCAAAAGGTTTAGCCCAGAGCTCCTGGGAGGCTGTTGGATGGCATGGGAGGTCTGAGGGGGCCTCTGTTGCAACCAAATCCCTAAAATCTCCCTCAGCTTTCCCTGCTATTTCGCTCGGCCCAGGGAACCAGAGGAGAACTGGTTCTCATGATCCAGGGGAGATGTGTAGAGACCGATGCCCCACAGCAAGCTGGAGGGAAGTGAAGGAGAAACAGGAGCTGACAGGATGGGCTGGGGCTTTGCCAGGCAGCTCAGGTAAAGAAGGGAGTTGTAGGCAGGAGCCAGAATGTGCTGTGGCCTAGAGGCCTGAAACTATTGGTCATGTTCTAAACACTGTGGGTGGTTTGGGTGATGGATGAGAAAAGTGGCCAGAGGCAGGTAGGTCTCAAACGATCTTCAAAGCGTCTGCATTTCATCCTGGGGAAGGGTGATCAGGTATCCCTGAGGGGTTTGAGTGGAGAACAGGCTGCTCAGATGTGAGTTTAAGAAAGTTTACTCTGGCAGCTGTGGTGAGTAGACGTAGGGAGTTGAGCCTGGGGGAAGGAAGCAATTGCCATCATTCGGGTCATAGTCAACAAGCATGAAAAATCATTCACTCTTTATTTGCTCTTTTTTTTTTCTTTTAAAGATTTTATGTATTTATTTGACAGAGAGAGAGAGAGAGAGCACAAGTAAGGGAAGGAGCAGCTGAGGGAGAGGGAGAAGCAGGCTCCCCGCTGAGCAGGGAGCCTGATGCAGGACTTGATCCCAGGACCCTGAGATCATGACCTGAGTCGAAGGCAGATGCTTAACCGACTGAGCCACCCAAGGTGCTCTAATCATTGATCTTTTGAACGCAAACAATTTTGAACCCATGAAGTGTGGCTCTAGGGTCCATGCTCTTAACCATTACATCATACTGCCTCTCCAGCTTCTTTCTTGGAAGGAATGCCTGGATCCAGACATTCTGTGCATGAAAGGGATAGGGAAGTGAGATTAGAGATTTCAGTGGTTCCACATAGAAATTTCCCATCCATTGCTTCTTTTTGGCTTTGCAGCTTTATTTACTCTTACCCACTGCACTCCCCAGTGCCTCGGAAGCCCAAACCTCTTTGGGATTCTGTAGAAAAAATTGGCTTTTCCCTTACTTATTAGATGTGGCTTTCTCTGCCTGGGGTTAGCACATCTTTCTCTGCTTTCTATTCTCTGAAGACATGTCATTTTTATTTATTTATTTTTTTTTATTTTTTTGAGAGACAGAGGGAGAGAGAGAGAGAGAAACCCCGCGATGGGCAGAGGGAGAGGGAGAGAGAGAATCTTAAGCAGGCTGTATGCCCTGCATGGAGCCTGACACAGGGCTCGATCTCATGACCCTGAGATCATGACCTGAGCCAAAATCAAGAGTCAGAGGCTTAACCGACTGAGCCACCCAGGCACCTGATTCTCTGAAAACATGTTATATTCAACCACCTAGTGATAATCCCTGTACTATTCCTTTTGTCCATGTGGGTTTATACTTTTAAATTCTTTTACTGTCTTTTTCATGGGACTTTGAGAAGGAAAAGAGAACCAGAAATTTATTTTTCACTGTTTTTTTTCCACTTAACAGCATTTACTGAGAGGTGGGGTGTTTTGTAAGCCTGGGCTGATGCAGTGAGCACACTGTGCACCACACTGGACAGTAGTACACAGTCTCCTTGGACTTTAATGATCAGCCTGCAGCCCGTTTTGCCTTATTCCTCCTGGGCTCCTTTCAGTGTCTCCCTTAGTCTAGAGCTTCCCCAGTAATCTCGGGCCTTGCTTTATTATTTTTTTTCCTGGGCACCTAGACCAAAATGGGTTAGATATCCTTCTGATTTATTCTTATGTCTTCTGTGCCTCTCTTGAAAGAATGTAGTATGGGCTAGCCCCTCATGGCCTCAGTATGGAAGAAACTCCTCAGGCTTTTCCAGTCTTTTCCTCTTGCCGCCTTCACCAAACGTCTTCTACTCTGCTTGGTTGCCTTTCCTTTTTGGTCAGGAAGCTGGATGTAGGTCACCTGGTCAGTTTGTGTTCCCACCAAGGGAGACCCAGACACGAGGACTTGGGGGCAGGCAGTTTATTTGGGAGGTGATCTCAGGGTGCTCAGGTGAGGAAACTCAGGGAAGTGAAACAGGAAAGTGAGAAAAGCCAAAGGGCTGGGCAACTGGGACTCATGACCACCGGGCACCTTATCAGAGGCGGGGTGGAATTCACCTCCATAACTGAGTCGAGGAGGCTGGGATCTGTATTGTTTGAGGGTTCCCTGTGGGCATAAACTCCTTCACACTCTCAGAGTGAGCCTAAGAGTTGTTCAGCAAGCTCCCAGGTGGTGGGGAAGGCCAGTGAACAGTGAAGGGAGATGCAGGTGTTTGAGGAGGGACGATGTCTCCAAGAGGGGATTATCTGCCACAGCTTCAGGTGAACTTAGGTGGGACTACGTGGAACTGGGGCGAGGCTTTTATGATCTCAGAGGCAAGGTCATGTGAGAATCTGACATCAAAAGCCTCAAGTTTCTGACATTCACCTTTCAAGCCATCAAAGTTTGGATGTCAGACAGAATAGGATTTAGAAGGGCATCTGAACTTGACTTTTTTTTTTTTAAGATTTTATTTATTTGACAGAGAGCGAGAGAGACAGAAGAGAGGGAACACAAGCAGGGGGAGTGGGAGAGGGAGGATCCTGGCCTGAGCCAAAGGCAGACACTTAAAGACTGAGCCACCCAGGTGCCCCGCTTTTTTTTTTTTTTTTAAGATTTTATTTATTAGAGAGAGAGAGAGAGAGAAAAAGGGGGGGGGGGGAGGGACAGGGGAGAAGCAGACTCCCCGCTGAGCAGGGAGCCTGAAGTGGGACTCGATCCTAGACCCCTGGGATCATGACCTGAGCTGAAGGCAGACACTTAACTGACTGAGCCACCCAGGCGCCCCTGCACTTGATTTTTTAAAAAATTTTTTATTGTTACGTTAATCACCATACATTACATCATTAGTTTTTGATGTAGTGATCCATGATTCATTGTTTGTGCATAACACCCAGTGCTCCACGCAGAACGTGCCCTCTTGAATACCCATCACCGGGTTAACCCATCCCCCCACCCCCCTCCCCTCTAGAACCCTCAGTTTGTTTTTCAGGGTCCATCGTCTCTCATGGTTCGTCTCCCCCTCCAACTTACTCCCCTTCATTCTTCCC